TTATTCTCCAAAATAAAAACATCCGATCAATTGACAGTTACTAAGAATGAGCATCCGAAGATTAATATCATGCAATGTAACTACGCAATATTATACATTTTTTAATTAGGTTGCTATTTAAAAAATGTAACAATGCTTGTATGTCAAATATTCAGTAAAAGTGCCTGTGAGTAAATAATGGATTCTACTTTTGTATAGTGTGAAGTGTGAACATCTATTCACCTTTACTTGCCATTGTTTGTTTCGAATTCAACATTATACCTACTACATTTGTTAAGAATTTTGAACGTGACTTAATTATATTATTATAATTATTTTATCGCCGTGCATTGATTTAAAATACAAAGTAGCCGTTTGAGTGTTATCGATTACGGAGACAACAAAGACTGAACGATAACATCACTGATTTTCGCAATTCAAACATGAATTTCACCATTAAATTATTTCTCAATAATGAAAGAATTCTATGTATTTCAACGTTGTATCAAAAGGAGTGCCGGGCAATATTTTGTTACGCAAGTCGTTCACGTGATCCGTCGGTGGTAATGTGCTAAGGCGAGTGAGTATGCTGCGTATCGACATTCGACGGACCTATCGAGTGTTGAGTAACCAACGTTTGAAAGAGGTTCGTTACGTAGAGGTTTCGATACAGCCTCGCAACGTAAGGCCGTGGTTGCAGTCACGTCGCCGGTGAGAGGTACCCCTCCTCTGCCGGAAGGTCGCGAGCGGCCGCCGCACCGCGAAGGAGAACGGCATCGAAATGAATCCTTGCTTCTCGGCTTTACTTCCAAAACAAAGACTTTTTACAATTTCGTAAGCATTAAAATTTTACGTTAACTTTATTTAAATATATACTTTTGTTTTGTAGCTATCATAATGAAGTCTAGATAAATTCTAAATGCCATGCAATCTAATCGTTGTACACGTGCAAAATAATTAACATAGTTCATTCACCGTGGCGGGTACTTTGGAAACTGTACTTTATTTAGTTCCCATTAAGATTGGTTCACGATAAAATACGAATATGCATTCTCAGCAAAATGCAATATAACAACTTAAAAGAACGGCTCGTTTAAAAATATAACAAAATAGAATGATATACATATTATTTCAGTGCATCGTATGTTTCGCTTTGAAATTGTAATTGGTATACTATTCGCGTAGTCAAGGTATACTGGTTTGAGTGTGACTTTTAATAAGTTCTGCATCAGCCAATCAGCGGCCGCCGAGTGAACGAAAAAACCCAAGCTAGAGTGGCGTACACTCAATGACAACAATGCGCGAGACTCGAATACAGTTTTTTTCCACATATTATAATTAAATGAATCGTTGTTACCTCACCGCGCCGCCGACGATTGCGACAAGAGCGGCCGCATCGCATCGTACATTAGAAAGTCGGCGAATATGCAAATAGTGTATTGTAGAAACCACACGAATAGCTGGCCACTCACTCCGACTTTAAATGTGTCTACGATGAAAGTGACTATTACCGTTAGTAAATTGTGTTAGAACAAAATTTCTTATGATGAGACCGTTGCCGAATTCTTAATTTCGATCTCGAACGTGGTAAAATTTTCCTTTTCAAAAGACAGCAAGTTCTTGTTGAATAATTACAAAGATAAACATATCGCTTGCCGCAGAATGTTTATCAACATGTCAGATACTTGTACGTTGATTATGTACCTACATTCGTTGTGTTTATTTATATATTTTTTTAAAACCCTACAGCAATTCACACGATTCCACATTAATAGCATTATTATGATTGTATAATTCACGTTTACGTATTTTGACGCTTTTACTTAAGCTATTTCTTTACAATTTAGTTCAATTTAGTCGTCCGATAAATGTATGGCCTAAATTTTATTAATATTATTTAGAGTTCTTAACAATCTGTGACAAGTAATAAAAAACGTAGCAAGTATAATTATGTATACTTTTAAAAAACGCTTATACTTCATTACAAGAAAAAATACGTCAAGTAATCAACACGAAGGCGATCACAACTCGGGCGCGTGGATTTTCCGCTACGAATCGAAGTGAACCATTTTATTATCGACCACTACCTATGTTTGTTCCTCTCGAATTGGAACTAAAATGTATCATTATTCGAACGACATAAAGTCGAAATTAGATCGTCTCGACTATATCACCTCTACGTTGTTACGTCAATAAGATATAATGCGTTAACTCGAAGTAGGGGCGTACGACCGGTTGTTTTGCGTCCGGGTTTGTCTTGTACAATGGTATTCTTAATATCATAATGTATTCTGATATTTTACTCGGAATCAAAATGGATTTTTTAACGTAAAACAAGCTAGACGCGCACTTGGACAATAATATATTAGTTAGACATACTACAGTTACACTGAACTTTAAATGTTATAGTTGTTTGCTGCTAATAAGTAGTAGTATATCTCTCGGTCGAGTGAGTCGTCGGACCGGTTGCGACGGCCTCTCACTTCGCAACACTGTTCCGTTCGCCGCTTGCTCAGAAATTAGGTAACCAAGAAAAGCTACAATCGCCTGTACACGATTGCTAATTCACAGCGAACAAAATCCCTGCTACGAATTGCACATTAAATAAAAACAGCTGAAACTGTTTTATTATGACGTAACGGCACGATTTATCGACGTAGCTATCATGCGTTGTCTGATAAGTATCCTCCTACAACGACTAGGTGCCATTCGAGCTATGCCTTGAAAAACATATGACGCATTTCCTCATACCCACCTCTTTTCCGGCCCTCGCGAGGTATTCCTATCGACCTTCACTAGAAGACAAACAATCAAACCGTCGACCTTGACATAATACAAATCCGCAAATTCATTGAACTAATTGCCTATAAATAGATGCATGTGAGTTATTGTATTAGTGACAATAAAAAGAAAAATCGGCCAACGAAATGATACAAAACAATGGAAGACGCTATGGAACTGCTGATGCGGGCGAGACGGCTGTTCACCGAATGCCAATGTATCCATCGCGAGGCGCTCTTTATATTGCTTGGCCGTACTGCAGAGAAAGCCACTCCCCGCGCGCACCCACACTAACTGCGCGCTCCGTTCGTAGCGGGTTTTTTCCTCATTAGCTCTATAATTCCACATTATTGTCCATATAAAACTTGTGTTTATCAAACTTAACTCGCGTGATAGCTAAATGCCTATGTCTCTAAATAATGTTCTGGCGTCACCTGCTGATATTTGAAGCTGTAGAGAAAACTCTAGTGAGTTTTTGCTAATTTCAACAACAGCTCTTGTAGCTCGGCCAATTGATACTAAAAGACCTTGAAACTGATAAGAAGTTCATTAACTAATTTATAGATAAATACAATATTCTCGAAGTTTCCGAAATCAGAAGCCGTTTTGTACTGGTGAAAATAACATAGAACGAAATTACATAGTATTCATTTTGAGCCGCATTCCTTTATAGACTAAATTGTCTGGCATTGTAGTGCTGGCACACATTCTGCTACGACCTCAAAGTGGCTCGCGGCCTCACCACGCATGGGCATGTCGAAAGTAGCACGCCTGGAAAAAAACACTTGACCTGTATTTGATTACTACATTTTTTTTCTGATTTTAAAATGGAAAATACTGAATAATATTATTGCGTATCTAAGTACGCGTACGTAATGGAGTACCTAACCTATTTATTTACGCATTCTGGCCCATCTGGGTTTAAGTGGCTACTGGAGTTCATAGACATCTCAACGTGTATGCTTTATGTAATCCACCTTGAAACATGACGCCAACTGTTAAATTGTCAATTGCATTATGGATGTATCATCCTACAAACCGGAAAGCATGATTGCTTCGCGGGAAAAAGAGACAAAATGGCGGTACCTAACCTTTTGAGCTAAAAATTCGCCCTACCACCAGTAAAAACTACCAAAAGGTTAATTAAAGAAAGAAGCAAATTTTGTAAAAAAAAATCGCATAAAGCATTACATGTTGGAAACAATAATAATAAAAATACTTGTTTATAGATTGAGTACCGTCTGATAAAATAGCAACACTTTTAAATTAACTCCAAATACATACATACATTTGTAACAGTTGTTTCAATATAGCATAGCTGTAATATGCTAAAATCACGCATCTACATTACCATTCCTGACGATGAGGGTCTTACTAGAATGTTGTCAATTTTTTAATTATCTTGTGTATTCAAACTTAATGTATGCTTTTACTATATCGCCCTAATATGGGTTGTGAGCTCCGAGTATAAGACCTGTTGCATGTTTGTCGTGGGAGTATTCTGAACTTTCGTCACTGGCATACAATTGAGCGGCAGGTGTATCATCTTTTAATATTCATGAGAGTAATTTAAATTGAAGCAATACATTAATTTTGTCATTGATTCACTGGATCCTAATGACTAGGAGATGTCGTGCCAGGTTTCCTACGTATGTTGACAATGACAATTCGCGTATTCTTGGAATTATTCATCAGATACTTAGTGAGTTGAGCAATTGTAAAGGTCGTAATTCTTTCGTATTTTACATAGGTATTATTTTATGATTTTTGTATCTGTTGTTGTCCGTCTCGGCAACGCGTATAATAAAAACATTGTTTATCTTTTTTCTTACGTCATACATTTAATAAAAGTAATCACGTGTTTAAAGTCAATATTGATATTATAATTTAAAAAAAAACTTAATGAATCCTCTTTAACATTAAAGATGGTTAAGATTTTTTTTTATAGTTTTTGTTATGAAAACAACGGATCTAAGAAAAAAAAAAATTCTTTGTAATAGTTATTAAATGTATGTTTTACTTTTATTTACTTAGTTATTTAAAACGTAAATAAAATATTTTGAAATTTATTATTTCAATGTCCTCACAACAAAGTCACGTACGAATAACAATATTCGTATAAGTATATGCATTAATTAAATGTAATAATGATAAGCACAAAACGAAAACATTCGTGTTTTAAGCACTGATATTTGTTATGGAAACGGCTATTTGATCAATTGTTGTTTCATTCATTTCAGAAAATTTCCATTCCGACTCCTACCGGTGGCAATGGACCATCGGGTGAAGCTACGTTTCGCTTCAGCATCAATAGTAATACAGAAATGGAAGGTCCACAGGTAAACCGACATTAAGTTTCTTGTATTTATTTTTTATTGCTTCGATGGGTGGACGAGCTCACAGCCCACCTGGTGTTAAGTGGTTACTGGAGCCCATAAACATCTACAATGTAAATGCGCCACCCACCTTGAGATATAAGTTCTAAGATCTCAGTATAGTTACAACGGCTGCCCCACCCTTCAAACCGAAACGCATTACTGCTTCACAGCTTTAAGTTTAACAAACTTAAACAATAAAATTTATCACGTGTTACTTCAGTAAGTAATGTGAATAAAATACACTCATTAGCATTCTTACGCACAAAATTTGTGGTTATTCTAGAAAATACTAGAAGTAAAAGTACACAGTTCGAAGTATCGAAGCAAACATTCCAAGTTCACCTTGATTGAATCGGTGTTTTACGTCATGCGGGTCGGGTATAATCTATTGAACGAGCGACATCGAAATGTCTAGGCATTTATGTATTCGACATTTCGCAATAAAAAAATTGTTACATTATCAGTATAAGAATATCATACGATAATTACTCACTTTACACATCTGTTGTTAATACAAAATTATGTAAACAAAATAAAATTGTTTATTAAATATATAATACATTCTGAATTCTGTGTGATGAATACACCTTTTACATAAGTACAGCAAAAGAGCACACGAGTGCAACAAATAAAATGAAAGCGAATAATACTGTTAGTTCAAGTGTTTCGACAAATGAACGCTCTGGATTGTTTACGTTTATATTTTTCCAACATTAAAACGAATCGACCTAGAGAATGATGTGTTTATATAATAATTTATCTCATTAATAAAGGTATACATTAGTATAGAACAAATTTTGTAACAAAAACTGTTAAATAAAATATAAATCTAATTAACCTAAGACCACAGTAACTTCCACTTCAAATAAAATTGCTTTAAGATTAAAGTAATTTAAAATCAAATATTTAAATTCAATATTCGCCATGAAAATTAGTCGAATGTAAACAAAATTACGCACAGGGACATAGTCAAAAGCAAGAGGAAACCATTAAACCGAATAGTAAACGTGTATCGAATATATTGATCAGCTGATGCTACTAATATTGTGGATTTATTAATATTCTCTATGGCAGCCCCTTGATCGCGCACGCTTGATTTTCTAGGTCACGAAACGGTCGAAACGCTAAGTTGTGGCCCTCTTACAAGTTTTGTTTAGCTTGTGATTAATTTAAGAATTCCTTTCACATATTTTTTGGGGTTTCTTTTAGTTCTGATCTCGGTAGGCGGCGTTAACGTTCGACTTGGCTTAGAGAGAGAAAGAGAGTTTTATAATCGATCGCCTATTGACAACACATGTACCTAAGCTATTCGGGAATGGTAGGCAAAAGGGTTGGCAAAAAAAATATGCGAATTGTAAATAAGGTGATGCCCCGAAAGAATAGTTCAGAAGAAATATTCACTCAGTTTTACTTTAGTTTTACAGAGTAAATAATACATGATACAAAACTCTTTTGAGTCGGTTTCGTTGAATCCATTCCTATACTGAACAATGTTGACGAATGTCACGACGTATTTTTTTTTTTTTTGCATTTAAAATACGCAGTAAATTCTCAAGGAAAGTTAGTATTTTTGTCGTTTCGTGATTTCGTCGATACCCACGTAAAAAAATAAACATTAATTTACGCGAAGCCGGAATGCGGCGGACGGCGTACTAAGTTACCCAACAGCCGTTAGAAAGTGCGATTTCAGTCGCGTAGCATTCGTGTTGCATCATAAAGAGCTGACTAAGAACTTACCATCCGAGAGTCCTTTTATATACCACTTTCCATTCTGAAATTCCGTCTTCTTCTTCTTCTTGCTTCGGTTTCCTCAATACTGAGGGTCGTGACCACCTCCTCGCAACGGGAGTTTATTACGCACCATTCCACGCCATTTGCCTCTATCAGCCGCCGAGTGTAGAGCATCGTGAACGGTGGTGTCGAGGGTAGTGCGGATCTGGTCAACGTGTCGGGCCTCTACCTCGTGGTCTTCTTCCGTTCACCTTGCCAGTCACCATTAGCTTCTCCAAGCTGCCGTGATCCTTTCTTGCAATGTGGCCAAAGTATTCCAGAACTCTACGTAGGCAGGTGGTAGAAAGCCTCGTCTTTATCTGGAGTTCTTGGAGGATCGACACGTTGGTGCGATGTGCTGTCCAGGGAATTCCTAGCATCTTTCGCCAGCACCACATCAAATTCCGTACTGGGACGTAAAATTGTTCGATGAACCTCAGCCTAATAGAAACTTTACAGTCAATAAAACGAAACACGAAAAGCGGCCCGGTACCGTTCTGGCCCGGTAACAAGATTTCGCGGAGGAATCGTGTGTAAACTGTGTCTGTAAGATTACACTTATCATCAAATCTGCGAGCGAAAATTTTCAGTCTACAAATAACCTGAATCGATTCACCGCTTCTATAAATGAAACGCGTGGGTGTTGTAAATTTGCACTGCTATGAGATGAAACGTTCGATTTTACACGTACAATATACCTACATATCTCGCGATCATGAAAAACAGCTGATCTCGACTTCACTCTATGACATAATAAATTTCTTGTGTCGATTATTTGTCATCGTCGCCGTGATGACTGTGTGATAATCAAAGCNAATCGATTCACCGCTTCTATAAATGAAACGCGTGGGTGTTGTAAATTTGCACTGCTATGAGATGAAACGTTCGATTTTACACGTACAATATACCTACATATCTCGCGATCATGAAAAACAGCTGATCTCGACTTCACTCTATGACATAATAAATTTCTTGTGTCGATTATTTGTCATCGTCGCCGTGATGACTGTGTGATAATCAAAGCATGCCTTAATACTTAAAAAATTTTTAGAATACCGCTAGTAAATTTAAGAGTCGATAATATGTAATTTATCGTTTCTTTTTTAAATTCCAGGGTGCGTTTGAATGTGTTAGGAGCGGTGGCACGCGGCGTTTGGAGTCGTGCGGGCCGCTACCGCGAAGAATGCGCGTCCAAGCCAATGACGACTCGTACGAGGCCACAAAAGACCGGATGGCGAAAACGGTCGCCGCGGAGCAGAGTAAATGGTACTTAGTAAATCAAGTTTTCAATTTTTGATTGTACGTTAGCGTAAAAGAAAGTAAGGTTTTGGTCTCCCAAAATTATCATGTTTACGCGGCTATTATAATTTCAGCACCCGCGTGATTAAACCTAACATGACGGACATTGGAAGGCGTGTAAAAGTACGACACTCGTACGTGTCAAACAATACCGCCGGTCAACTCGCCGATCGACCTGACCGGGCCGACCGACCGGAGCGTCCGGATCGACCCGATCGGCCCGACAGACCTGATCGATCAGAGAGACCGGAGCGGGTCGAGAGAGGCGACCGGGTGGAGCGCGTGGAACGGCCTCAGGTGGCGGCGAACGTGCCTCGTCCTCAACCCGCGCCGACGCAGCCCCATCAGCCGCCCCAGCACCAAGCGACGCATCATCAGCGTCCGCCTCATAACCCGGATCTCACTAGGAGATCTTTGAAGTGAGTAATCTTCTCTTATCTACACTCACTTATATCTCTAAATTTCGAAATATAGGTAGTTAAATAGAAATTAATTAACCGAAACTGTAGTAAGTAAGAAGATTAGTTGACAAAGCTGACGTTCAAAGCGTTGAGAATATCAGCCAAATAACAGTCATTATTAAGCTAAGCCAATCAATTTTATCTTGAACCCGCAATCTTAAGAAAAGCTGCGTGGTCCCCTGCATTACAAAAAACCGTTGACCTCGCGAATCAATATTACATTACTTGCGGTTAGGTACGAAAATAATTGTAAAGCATTTTTTTATGAATGCTCCCAAATCACTGATATTCCTTTTTAGAACATTTCCCTTAAACTTCAATGTCATAATAAGTAAAAAAAAAATCACAAAGGTACGTAAATATTTTGATAGAAATATTGAAAACGTCGGGTCTCGGTCGTGTTTACATAATTTACATTTCATAGTAAACGTTACTCGAGCAACAACAATATCAGAAAATTTCCTAAAATTGCCGTCGATAGTAAAATATGCCTATATTTATTTAGTAACGTTTAACCGCACGTTTTCCGCGGCAATGGTTCTTTTAAATGGTAATTCCGCAACACATCGTTATCAGCACAATGAATATGATAATTTTTGCTTCACACACATACACCATATTTACAACCAGCATTCGTTTATTTTGTAACGAAAACAAAAAATGCTCCAACAAAAATTAGGAACTAACAACCTTCTAACGATTAAAGTTTCTTAAATTATTATTTCTTAATAACGAAGTTTTTAGTATAATTGTTCACTAATGTTTGAAGATCATAAATCTAATTTATTAACAGTAATTTTAGGACAATGATCGAAATTCGAACATAATTACATTTTCAAAGAATTGACATAGTACTAATACATATTAGAAAACGGTTCTTATTTTTTTGTCCATTTAAATAGAGATTCTAGCTTCTTTAAATGGTAATTAGAATGGAATAGCAGTTTTGAGAAATAAAAAATATTTGTAATTAACATTGAATTATGGCAGGACCGTTTTATGATAATCGTAGCTGCGTATAATTTATAGCGACCCGCCCTCGCTTCGCTTCGGAAACATTAAAACACACATGAAACAAACAAAAAAAATTTAAAAAAAAGTAGCCTATGTTCATCAGGGACAATGTCGGCTTCTAATGGAAAAAGAATTTTTCAAATCGGTCCAGTAGTTTCGGAGCCTATCCGAAACAAACAAACAAACAAATCTTTCCTCTTTATAATATTAGTATAGATTAGTATAGACAAATAATAATGCATTAACAAATGCGAAAGCGTTATTTTGTTTGTCCTTCTTTGGCGTAGTAATAGTCCGACTTGATTTTTCGCAAAGAGATCGTTCTTAAAAAAATGACGAGGTTGATTTTTTACATTGAAAATTTTTTAGGCAAGCTAAACTGCAAAGCAAACCTGGTTTAAATATAAAGTGCTGTCGAAAATATTTATATATATTTTTATTACATACTATTTTTTTAAATGAGTCACTGACGAACGAGGTTATATAAAAATTGTTATTGTTCAATGCAAAATAACTCAAGGTGATTTCAACCGTTTTCTGAGCGTTTCAAGAGTAGAAAAAAAATACGTATTGATTCTGCTGCGTTATCAAGACCCTGTTTATCGTTAATGTTAATAAGGTGGTTGTAAATAACATTAATTTTACAAAAGATAAGACAATAAATAGTCTATAGTCTTGTGACTGTATAAATATTCTCAAAGTAAATATGTAAATAAATTAGTATTTATATGATTCTATAGAAAACAATAAATGCCTAGAGCAGGGGTCGGCAACCTGTTTGTCCTTAAGGGCGTAATACTGCATTTGAGAATCACCGAGGGCACATATATTACAGATAATCGACAGGTATCAATAGGCATTAAAAAAAACAATTTTTTTATAACTTTATTTTGTTGGTGTCATACATAATGATACATATAATTCAATGTGAAACTTGGGTGTCCATATTTTCAGCTAATTTCTTATAATTGGGGATATATTTAGAGTTCCCGGTCCTTAAACAATTATATAAATTTGAGTCATTAAGCTTTGTTCGGTATTGGAAGAAAATAATTATTTCGGATTACTTGGTAGTTTTAAATGCACGGTCTACGCGTGGTCTATTCGAAATACGATCACACACCAACAAAAAATACGTGCGTGTTATTAGATACGCTCAAGGTTAGCAAACTGCTAATCTATGCACAATCCTAAACTTAACTGACTACTTGCTGTATATCGCCGTTTGACAAGAGTAAGTAAATCGCTCTGGCTGTCATACATTTACATTAGTCCAGCGAGGACGCATTAAAAATCGATCGGGGCGCCGCGTTGCCGACCCCTGGCCTAGAGTATTATAGCTAGCGTCTTGGTCGCTGGATTATGATACGAGGAGGACCAGAGACAAGTAATATTGTTGAAAACACACAATTAAAGGACAGTCATGATAATGGGTGAATAATATCACTACCCTGCTTTGCAGCTTCCTAACTAACCCATAGATAGACACAGCTCACTGACTTTCACGCTAGGGCTAGTGTGTTAGCAAATTGTCTCAGGGTGAGACCGTGAGCTTACCTACCCGGGCGTAGCTGAAATAGCTCCATAGGGTACCAGTGAATAGGCAGGGAAAGAAATAATTGCAGTTTGAAAGCCGCCGCAATGAAACGTAAGTCTTGAAGTGCTGACTGACTGTAAATTTACATTGCGATTCATAGGCTCCGATAACCGCCTAATGTTAACTGAACCTTATACTCGGTTGCCCATTTTAATAAAAACGGCTTGGCTCTGTTCCTGGCATTGCTGAAGTCCATGGGCGACGGTAACCACTCGCCATCAGGTGGGCCGTATGCTCGTCTGCCTACTAGGGGAAAAAAATAAAAAAAATGTGTCTCCGAGATTCTCTGTTCAAAATCGTAATTTTTATTTGAACAGCTTAACTTTAATGTCATGTTCATTTCTTTTACAGAGAAAGACTTATACAATTATTAGCATTGAAACCGTTTAAGAAACCCGAATTGTACACTAGATTATCCTCCGGTAAGTTAATTTAAACATAATTTTTTTTTTTAAATGTTCATAATACTGAAGGTTGGTACACATTCACTCGAGAATAGCGAAGGCTCTCCCGTGTAGTGTGGAACGACCTTAATAGTCGTCCCGACTGACGCGCGCGTCCCTTTTCAGAGGGGATCAAGGATAAAGAGCGGAGCGCCGTGAACAAAATACTACCGCAGATTAGTTTGATGAAGGACAACTGTTACCACTTACGTAGGCACATCTGGAATGACGTCAACGAGGATTGGCCGTTCTACACTGAAGAGGAAAAACGCATGCTCAAGAGGTACGTAAATATTGTTGTAATTTCAATAAATAAATCGTATTATGGGTACAGAGGACATGGGTTCCGGTAACCCGTACTCGTCGAACTCCAAAAAGAGGTCGACGTGCAACCTAACCCATGCATCAGCCCGCTGAGTTTCTCGCCGGATCTTCTCAGCGGGTCGCGATTCCGATCCGGTAGTACATTCATTCGCGAAGCAGTTGCTCTTGAGTTGTTAGGTCTCCTTCAGAGGCGCTCGGGCAGCTGTTAGCAAATCCCACTCCTCCTGGCTGAGCTTTTGCTCGCCTACCAGTCCTGGTGAAACTGGAAAGGCCGCCGTGCCACCAGTAATCCTTCAATCATAAAAATGTGTCCCCACATTATTATTGTTGTTAATACGTAGTATTCTAGATCCAAAGACTTTGTTTTTGCGGTCCAAATTGTTCTGAATCGTTATTGTACCGAATGAATTCGTACACTAATCTTTCTAACCCAACTTATTTCTTGTGTTTTTCTAATTGTCATAGTGGCTGAAGTTGTATGGTAGGATTTTCAAAATCGTTTAAATATCAACAGATTATGATTGATGGTCAGTTAATTTTGATCGTTCAAGTCGAAATAGTCTGGCAACATCTAATATAACAATCGAGTAATCGCGATTTGATTCAGTTCTTTTTTTAAACAAATTTCCTAATCGTATTTTCATTGCCTTTTTACGGTGATTTAATGTTAATAGCTTTAAAGAAACAATGTGTATAAGTTCTTAACGTAACGTACTGCGTAAACGCTTACGCTGTTAGGACATAGTCCAAGTGTTATGCTAATCACATACCACAAAGCATACCGTATAACCGATATGCCATCGACGTGAAATTGAAAAAAAAAACAAACACCACAAGATGTTTCCGAAAATGTTTTTTTAAATTAAATAAACGAAATCGTATTCTCGTTTTTGATCAACAAGGATGTATTAATTCAATATCATTTCCTCTATTAAACTGACATTGATTCGTTTTAGGCAATAATGTTTAAACAATAATATCATAGTTTATTTCTAGATTCTTGTTTATGAAATCTATTGTTCCATAATATTCTAATTACTAATATACAAGTTGATATGAGGTTTAGTTACAGAGTTAATTTTAATTAAAGATATAAAAATACTTATTTGTGCATGATAATGATTTTATATTTAAAAGCAAGCGTGACGTAACATTCGGTGATGTTTTAACGAAAATACTGTTATCTAACGAGGAAAATAATACAGGGAATATCAAAACGTATCTTGTTATTACTATAGATAGGGTGATGGCTTGGGGCACATCTGGTATTACGTAGTTACCGAAAGTCTTCTACGTCACACAACGTGGCTATCGCCTTGAGGCATGAGGTCGAACTTTCAATCGTGTAACCGCTGTCTTGACCGTTCAAACCAGACCACACGAATAATTCTCTCTCGGTAGAAATAGACAGAATCGTGTTGAAAATGTCAAAGTCACATCCCAATTCTAATTCATTCGCTTATTTGTTCTCATTGTAACAATAAAACTAGCAAATTACTTTTTTATATTATACCTCACGCATTGTCTGTTTTTGTATGATTCCTATAATTATGTTTTTTAAAAAAAATAACCCTTTAAATTAGATTTATTATGTCATCTGTACAAAGCTACTTTAAAATATTGCTTAGAATAAAAATTTCTTAGAAAGAATATGCAAAGCATTTAACACTTTTTTTGCGCCTCAGACGTACGCGAAAATAATGCTTCTTTTAACTTATAAAAGTACATATATTGAAGGTTTAAAATATTTTTGTTAATTAATAGGGGTCTATTTTTAAACCCGGTCGATCCCCCAAAATTAGTTTTCGTTTATTTCGACCCCTGGGAAACCGATATCGATTCCTTGGGGACCATTTTAGGAATCCCTCCCTGGCTTAGACGATGTTTTGCCTCCCATCAGAATAAAAACTAAAAAAGCATGCTTCAAGCATATAATAGTAGTCAATATTAAACGTTTATTTTACACATTATTCGTTGTTTGCATAATTAAAATCTATTGAGCTTCAGATTTGTATAAATTGCTCATCGGAATAGATGTATAGAGAGAGAATGACATTGATTTAACGGTTGATTTTGCAAAATAAACTAAACGTATTGTATAACTATAGTTTTCCTCGTGTGGGGCTTCTGAAAAACATGAATACCACATTCTTACGTCATTGCAACATAAATGACGTAGGATGTATTGTTTTAATCTTTTTTAAATATAATATGTCATTATTACGAGTACATTGTTATGTTTAAAAAAAGGAATTGACGTTATTGTTACTTACAATATTATGACAATAATTGATATTGTTTCTGTGAATGTAAAAACGTATCTTGAGTGGATGATTTGTGAAAGTAATGTTAATAAAAGCCATTAATTAATCTTTATTAAAAAATTTCCAAATAGTTTTAATATGTATTAGTGAAAATTCGGTTAACTGTAGGGAGATAAAACTTTAAGAGAGGCATTCGTGGTCTCGTTGTTTTTTTTTTAAATGTTTAAATGAAACTAAAATTGTAATAAAAATACAAATAAATATTCGCTCCGTTTGCGCAGTGATCCGAAATGGGTATACGTGTCCAACAATAGATAGATTTCGCAATTAGTCTCGGTCTCACGATCGCTTTGGTGTTGTTATGAGTTGTTACGTTTATAAAAAAATGTTTACGTTAGCGAATTATTTAGATCGTGCTGTTTGTTTTGTCGATATAAATCTATACTAATAACATAATATAATAAATCTACAGTGGTTTTAACGGATGTTCCATTATACCTACTGAACTATGCATCCGATTGACTTGAAACTTGGTATCCATGTAGAAAATACATTTACTTAATGGATAGGCTAATATTTATATGAGTGTTGGACTCCCTACACCAGTTGCGGGGGCGTTAATGATGAGAATTTTTGTGGGGGTGAGAAATAATAATGTTAATTTGAAATGCCCAGCGAAGCGGACGGGTACAGCTAGCTTTAAAATCATAAAAGTGTTGAAACATGCCTAATACGTTTGTGTAATTATTATTTTGTATTAAAATTCAGGCGGAAACCTCAAAACTTAACTCCCCCGCTGAGCAGCGACTCGGCGCAGTCGCTGTCGCCGCGCGCGTCCCCCGGCGCAAAGCGAGCCCCCGCGCCCCCCGGCCCGCCCGCCGCCGCCCTCGGGGACGACGCCCCCGCCGTTAAGAAGCAACGCATCTCGCACTACCGCCGCCCCTCGCCGCCCTCGTCCGGGTACGCCACCACCTCGTCGGGGGAGCGGCACGCATCCGACAACGAGGATGAACGGACGACAACGCAGGGTACGGACCTTTATAGCTATACTGTAACTATACTGAGATCTTACGATCTAATATCTCAAGGTGGGTGGCGCATTTACGTTATAGATGTCTATGGGCTCCAGTAACCACTTAACACCAGGTGGGCTGTGAGCTCGTCCATCCATCTAAGCAATAAATAAATAAAATTTAACAATCGAATGAACGAGTAAACAAACGGTTTAAGCGGCTTGGCCCTGCCCCTGGAATTACTGAAGTCCATGGGGACGGTAAACACTCATCAGGTGGCCCGCATTCCCGTCTGCCTACAAGGGCAAAAAAAAAAACATTCTACCGCAAAGCACCTCGTCAACTTAAGATCGAAGACTAATTGCATTGGAATAACTGCTATCCTATTCTGTGCATGATGAGTTCACGTTGATGGGGCGAATCTGGTATTAATCGCTTGATGATGCTGAGGTGATCCACGTCTCTTGATTCATAGAGCGATTCAACTTGCACAGCATTTTCATAAATTTTAATATTTATTGCTACAGTATTTATTGAGCTTTGTTTGTTATTGTTTTTTTGTATCATTTATCTCATTTGTCTTTGTAAAACACCTTCGAACAATCCTGACATATTTAATTGAAAAATAAATTCCCAGTGTTTGTTAATATCAGAGTTGATACAAGGCATCAATAGAAATCTCTTCAGAATTGATTATATAAATTTTGTATTAATTTTCACAGTTAAAAAGGACAACGGTTACACCCTTAACTTTACCACAGTCAAGGAAATCTGTCCCAGTCCTCCGGTCAAACCGAACGGCTTTAGAAGTAGTCCCCCCGTAGAGCAAACTAATATCACAGGTAATTTTAATCATAATTTGTTATCTACGGCAAACTTGCGTTGGTTCATCCAGTACCTGGCAAGAACAGTTCTGCCATGCCAATTCTGGAATGTTTTATGCTCTATATAAATTTTTTCGAATATGTACAGTATTGCCGGTTGTAATAATGTAACAATTTTTTGGGACAGTTACAATGAACACGTTCTTCATGCACACTTATTAAACTTAGCCCAGACTAATGGTTTCATTCTTGGTAGTATGGTAATCACAAAACGAATCCACGATCGGTTCCGTATAGACTTCACACGCCATTGACACTGCTCTTAAACGACTTTGATTGTGTGCGTCAGCGAATAGCGTCATTGGATCAACATGAATCAGCCATTAATTTTGTTTTCCTTTAAATATTTATTTGCTTTATTTTTATTTGCAATGTCGCTTGAACCGAAACCGCAAATCGTCGAACTTCATGTACTTAAATACCAAAAAAGTAAAAGGTTGATTATTTTTTTTATTTCTACAGAAAAAGACATCACAAATACGGAACCCTTAGAAAATACTGAATTAACGTCTGTGCCTGACGAGAATACGACTGATTTAGATGAGATCGAAAGGTACGTAAAGCGACGCATATGCGAGGGCGCTGACCCCACGGACGTATGGTACTTAAGACGCGTTCGTGTTCAAATTGCAGGCGATACCCGCCGATCACGAGTTCGGGTATGCGACGGGCCTACAAAAACGAATTCGCCGAACTGTACACGGAGTACAGAGAGTTGTACGCGAGGGTTGCGCAGGTTGCGGCGCTGTTCACTAGGCTCGAGAACGAACTCAAACGGGCGCAACCCATGTCGCCTCACCATCAGGTAAACGAACGTACAACCGTTACGCCCAACCCAGACGCGTGTCTCATCGTACAGTTCAATCGACTTAAACCTTCTTCTTAATTTTTTCGCTCCGGCACGGTTTGTGCATTAGCCAGTGTCAAGTAATAAGAACTTTTATAATTTGCCGTTTTAATTAATTACAGTTTATGAATATTAAAAAACGAAGGAAACTATGTAATCGCAACATAACATAAATGATTAAAAACGAATTAAATTTACAAATGAAATGATATGCGATGAAATATAATCTCAATAAAATGGTGGTAATTTACTGAGACTTTCAGTGGACTTTTTGGGGGATCCCGAGAAGCTACGTCCTGCGGCTTTGTTTATTTTTTCCACAATTATGCAGTTTCACAGATTCTAAACAGTTAATAAACCACCGTTATTACACACTTAAACCCGAAGAAACACTAATAGACAAAATAAATCACACAACTTCACTCCTCGCGTTCCCGCCAAAAAGTCCCGACTTAACCTTTCGAACTGCACCCGACCAATCTACCAACCCAGGGGTGAGCAACCTTTTTAACCAATAGCCCAATATAAATTTTTCTTTTTTTAGCGGGCCGCACATAATTAACTATTATTAATAATTTACGAAATAAATATTAGAATAATAAAAACATATTATATAAAAAAAAGTAAAGATTAAATACACAAATTTTAATGCAAGATAAAAACAAACAAGAAAAGAACAGAAAAACGAATTGATGGGAGAAAGTCGATAAAATAAATTAAATTTTAGAAATGCTTGACGGGCCACGTGTTGTTGCTCATCTTTGGGCGAACCCATCAATGTTGCTGTACCTCCAAATTAATGCAATTCAAATTAGCGGTTTTTTTATCAGAACTTTATTGTATAGTTGACAGTGAAGTTCGAAAGGTTAATAATAAATATGTTAATTGCGAAATCGAAAAAGTAACTTATTGAATACGATGTAGTGAAATCAGTGAAATTGGATGAAAATATCTTGTCTCCCTCCTTAAAGCTGCTGTTAGGAAACTCAAGGTAGAGGTTATGAGTGAATTTTTAAATTTAATCTGTCGAATGTTTGTGTTATCGGATGTTCATTTCTCGAACAGAGCATAGAGCAACGCATCGTCGAGGAATACAGACGCGTCAGCAACGACGCCGCCTACCAACACGAGCGGCGGAGGGTCAACTATCTAGACAAGAAACTAACTCATCTCAAACGTATGGTGCACCAGTACGATCAGCTAGTGAGTATTGTTGTTTGTTTAAATAATATTCAACTTTCTACTGTCTAACAGAAATGTACGAAACAAAAAGAGTTAGGACGATTTTTTTAAGGTTTTATAACCTGGTAACTAAGACCTTTAGGTCAAGTCTTATTTTAATTCGTATGAAACATTTTTTATATGAAAAATAATATTATGAAATGAAGTTGATTAATATGAAACGTGGCATGAAATAAAATGAAATATAATCTCAATAAAATGGTGGTCATTTACTGAGACTTTTTCAATGGACTTTTTGGAGGATCCCGAGAAGTTACGAACAGCGGCTTTGTTTCATTTTCCCACATTTGTGCACTTTCACAGATACTAAACAGTTAATAAACCACCGTTATTACACATTTAAACTTGAAGAAACACTAAATAGACAAAATGAAACAAATCACACAACTTCACTCTTCGCGTTCCTGCCAAAAAGTCCCAGTTAGGACGATGAACTTATTTAATGAATAAGAAAAGTGAGCTTTTTTTTTTAATTCACTATGGTTTACTTCCGAAAAGATATTATATTGTCGTTATAAAACACTTGATCGCCGAAATCGCCGAAAGTATGCATTTATGTGATTCAGATTTACGAATTCGGAATAAAACTGTAAATGTATGTCCTTTATTTCAAGTCTGTAACGCATTTAAAGGACTACGGAGAGATTCCAGTAAGTTAGAGTAAATGTTAGTAGTTAGTGTTTTGATAGTTCGGGCTTAGAATCGTTGTTTTAGTTGTAGTGAAATACAAAATATATAACAGATGTGTTATTTTTATTTTCTGAATGCGTGAAACCATTATACAGGGTGAGTTTTTTTGAATTCGGTTCCGAGAGACGAATTTTAAACTACGAAGAAGAGAACTTTGAAAGATCACTGGAACGATATTGATAAATACCGCAATTTTAATCTAATTATTTATTACGAAGCGATTGTCATTTGTCATTAGGTGGTACTCGCATTTGATATGGCTGAATAGAAAATTCCCTTTGTTTTAGAAGTTTTGGCTTAGATCACCTGTAGTGAATGCAATAAATTTAAAACCCATGTTAGTTGTGTTTGTTCGTATTTTGCATTATTCATCATATACCGCTGGAATAGCCTCTCTAGGCTACCAGCTTAGGTAGGAAAAAAAAAAGTCAACCTTTTGCTTGCACTTATTCGGTACCTTCAAAGTACGTCAGATGGGGCGCGAGTAGTTTTAATAAATGTGTGTTTTAGACACTTTTTTAGTGAAAGGCACAATGGGGCAATTTGCCTAGTTAAAAATAAAAGTATAATAATGATATCTTTATATTGAATGAGAGAAGGCGCAATAGCCGAATCCATAAATGTGTGAAAATTAAAAAGAATTACAACACTGAAGTTTCGGCTTTTATCTGATGTTAATTGTTTTGGGTAATTTAAAAAAATACAAATTCGTTTAACCAAATGTTAGAGGTGTAATGTAACATTTGGTTTTAATATGTGACCTAATAGTGAATATATCTTGTTGAGATAATACAGGATGCTATTTTTTTGAATTCTGTCTTGCTCTATAAATAAAATCATTTTTCTTGTATATTTGAAACTTTAGTTAGTGTATAGTTTTTAAAAGATACCATAGATTGGCCATCATATGTTTTTTTAATACAGGAAAATTACCCGGTATCATATATCTGGATTAGCTTATCTCCTAAATTGTGTAAAAAATTCAAGGTCATTTTTACTCGTTTATACAAACAGCGTTAAGATACTAGAATTTCAATTTCAAGGCTCCTAGGTTCAATTCAACACGGCTACGCCGAGAATTTAATCCTTTGCCATTAAAATAGCCATTAGCCATAGCTCATTGTATTCGTTCACTAATAATTGTAAAGATTAAATAAAAGCATTTAATTATAAAGCATATAGGTAATATAATAATAATTATAAAAAAATGAATGAAACTTATCCATCTAGCCAATCGTATTTCGACAAAGTGAAGAAAAGTTTCTAACAAAATAATGGCAGCAGCTTTCGACTGGGTTTATTTATTAATACATATATATACGTAAAAAATTATGTATGTGTGTTTCTCGGGTCATAGTCTGTGTCATGTGCGACATGATTTATTCAATTAAGTTGCATTTTCATAAAGTTGCTCATATACTGTATAAATATAGTTTCTGTTATAGCACCATAATAGCACCAAAGGGAGCACTCGAGTAATCTCTATAAACCAGTACATTTCATTTTTCATTAGTAATGGAAGGTCACAGCGAAACGTGATCAAGTTTAACTAGTTTTTTTTTTTGTTTATCTACCACTAGTAACCTCAAGGGGCTGTCACAGCATCGACGAACGTTTAAATTTAATGTGGTCGTTTTCGTTTGAACAGCGCAACCTGAAGCAGGATCGCGTATCGACGGCGAGTACGACTCAGGCGTACTGACAATCGAGCAACGCCGCGCCCGCCGCCCGCAGCCTATAGTGCGACGCGACCTCGCACTGCGCGACCTCACACTACGCGCCCCGCACTACGCGCCCTCGCACTACGCGCTGGACAATGTAACCGACCAAAACGAAAGGTACAGCGGAATAACAAGCGATGCTACAAATAAATACATTTTATAAAAAAATCCGTTTTAAATTCGACGTTACAATCCGCATTACAGTATATATTATTATTTAATGACGCATTTAAGGCTTTTTAGTAAACTCTAATAAAGATCAAGTCATCAATCAAAAATTTGTTTATTACAGTCATTAGTACGAGTGTATTGTGTTTGTGACCATAGCTTGTTCTTCCCCTGGTCCCTTCGAATAATAATGTTCTTCTTTTATACGAAGTGGCTCCCGTACAGTGACAGATGTTAAGCTTTTTTTAAATATATTATAGTACATATATAGATATATTAATATTATTATTATTATTATTCATGTGCGTTTGTGGTCTGCGACTCGACGGTTCTGACGAAGCCGCGCTGACTCTTCGGAATGCCTTTTCAAATGTCATTTTGTGTTACAACGCTTTTTTTTTAATGTCACACTTTATATTTAATCTGTGTTTCTAAACGTTCAGGCCGAATTGAGAAATTTCAGTGATAAAAGTAATGAATGCATAATGTTAGCGAATAGTTTTGAAATATGTATTTTATTAATATGAAAATCGTATTGTTTTTTTTTTAACTCTGCAGTTATGTAAGATTTCTGTAGATGTATTCACGTCGAATTTCTGTGTTGAGATTGTGAAACAACGCGTTGCGAATCTTTCTGCTGTTTTAGTTATTAGGCAGGTTTGACGAAAGCGGTGATTACATCTTTTATTTTTTAATTATCTCATATTACAATTTCATATTCACAAAATTTGAACGCAGTGTCAATATTTACCTTTAGGCCTTTTGAATACACGATTTAACACAACCGGTATTATTATAAACTGATATTATTGTGAATTTATCTCACAATAATTCCAGTTCTTTACAAAGCAATTCGTTTTTACGGCGGCATTGTGAAAACTCGTGACACAATGGACAGTTAAACGTTTTGGTTGCGATGTGTGTGTATTGTAAAGAAAATGGCGTGAGGCTTTAAAAATATTAGACGTTGCAGTTACCTCGCTATTATCAGGGGTCTTAGTAAATTACGAAAAATCGAGATTATAGCGTTAATGAACTTGGCCCTGTATGATATTTATGTATTGATGAGACACGCGGCGACCTGCCAAATTGGCCGCCTCTAGACGTCGATGTTAAGGTAACCGTAAGACAATTGACCGACGCTATTACGGACGACAAAATCACACTAATATACTTTACTATCTCAAAAACGGACGTTGTTATTGTTTTATTCAATATCACCGAATCCTGACCACGGTCCGCTGTGGCTTGCTAAATGTATGAGAATCACTGTTATTAGTTATGCCAATTGAAGACGTGAGTGGATAAAGGGGATTTCGATACAATTTGTTAATTTTGAGAAAACTGGTAACAAACTTGTACTTTTTTTCGTACATAACTCCTTCATCACATGCAATTTCTGAAAATAGCCTTTAAATCTGGAGTTTTAAGGTCTAATATGATTTACAGGCACCTAACACCTTCATTCAATGTAAAAACTAAAAAAATCTTTAAATTTGTACTTAACCCCTTCATCCACTCATGTCTTCAATTATTAGTTATGTCAAGACGGGTACTCTTGAATGCCAACTAAACAGAGACTCAAAACGATCCAACAAACATCGGCCATTTGCTTTTTTTTATTTGAAGATTTGTAATTACGTCACCTCGTTCGGTTTCATACTTGAAGGTTTATCATCAATGTGCTTCTTCTTTGAACAAAAGCAACAGGCGTATTGGTGTTTAGTTGAATATAAAGACTGATGTTTCGTTGTGAACATTTTTGATTAGCCATTACCCGCGTTTCGATAAAATGCAAAAAATATACGATTTTCCTGTAAATATTTCAAAACAACCTATCCCAAGGTGTCGAATGATAACGGTTACCCTAACATCCGATGTCCGAGCACGTACTGATTTAAACACAAACATACGCTGTTACATATTACATAAGATATATTTGAGAAGTACGAGTATATGACATTCTCGCTATATTATAGACCTATAATTTGTTTCGTTCATGTTTAGGTACTTTAACGAAATTGTTAATTGAATAAAAAAATAACAAAATACAAAAATAGGTTCAGTTCAAGTCAGATTCAAGTTTCACTATAGGTTGTTGTCACAGTAAAATGCCTATATTTAGTATGCGATAAAAATGCTATTGAAGTGAATTACGACAAAAGCCGCTATTGAAATTCGAATTGCCCCCCCTCAAAGCTAACCCCTCCCCTCTAATTTTTGTTTGTCATTGACATTAGGGTGCGTGAAATCGATTATCGAAATGTCACTGGCAATGACAAACAGTAAACCAACTCCACAGATCAATGTTCTACATTTCTTATCGGAACGTTAAGATAAGTGCGGTTGTTTCATTTCTTATCGTGTAAATAATTTTTATATTCATATAAATATATATATATATGAATATTCCATTGTCGAATATTTAATAGTCCAATCGTATATGTTCGTCCACATTTTTTATTCCATTTGAAAATTATTGCCGTCTATTGTTATCATTGTCCAAAAGTATTGCTGAATTATTTTTACTATTTCTCTTTATGCAAGGTCAAGGTTTTCTTACAATTGAACAGTTACACCGATAACGATTCGAATAAGTCAATTTTTACGTCTGTTGGCCTTGTGGAAAACAATTATCAAAACCTTTTGTATAATGTTTAGCCCGATATCGTCCTTTCGCTTTTGTAAATCCATCCATATGTTTAATGTTGGACGTTCATTTTATTTCTAATTCGTCTTGCCCAGATTGCATGTTGTACATACTTTATATATATTTAGAGAAGGGGAATTATCAAAAATGTTCTTGTTAAACTTTGTTATTGGTAGTGAAATATTTTTCAAGTTGATTTCTGATAATAATCGGTTAGCGCTTGCGTTTGAATGTGTCGTGTTTTTATTCTGTCGGATCCACGATACCGCCTTCCGCTTTGACCTACATTTGTGCAGAAATGAATTTCTCGGTTTATATGGCAGTTTGTGGCGAGTTATTTCGTTTCCACTATTAGAACAGGACTTCTTCACTGTCGCCAGATGCGATTTATTCTCATTACATCCCTTGATCCTCTAGTACACTTCCGTGCAATTGAATTGGCATCGAATTTCGGGTATATATACCCGAAACTAAACTCTGTTTCGATCAAAATGATTAAAAAGCATAAAACAACCAATTATCTAGAACCCAAGTGTAAGATACCTAATGCTTAAAATCGCTGCCAATGTCTATCATAAAACAAAATTAACTGTGATTAGTTTTGCTTAATTCAAAAGTATTTTACGATAAAAACACGACATATTAGTTGCCTCCTCTTTCGTTTTCTGCTTGTCGATCATGAGTTAATGCAGGGTGGAATACAATGGTAGTCATCAGTCCCTGAAAAAATCTCAGAAATGTTTACACTAAAACTCCTTTCTTTGGCAAAACAAGTACAACTTCATTCAATGATTGAAAATTTTCGCCTTAATCAATTAAATGGCGAAATTTTTAATTTTTATCGCAGTTTTGCGTTTTATATTCAAATTACCATCCATTAATCTAAAATACCATGTTACATGTAGAAATTTAATTCTCATCATTGACGTCATCAATAGGCTTCGTCATACAAAATGTATTTTTTCGATTTTACATCGGTTCGATGACGGACAGAAGACAAGCCACATGTCCAAAAACTATGGTCGTGAGTTGTACTTTTTTCAACAAATAATTACATAGTTTGGGTATTAATTACTTACCAGGGAATCCCCGTTTTGCTGTCTCACTAAATAAATTATATGTATTATACATTTTTTGAATCGTTTCGCACGCCACTTACTTCTTGATTTGTACTTCCCCATTTTATCCATCCTGTATGTATAATCTCATAAACACTTGTTTTTTTTTTTTGAAAAATTTTAGTAACAGCCGGCCAGTTCTGAACATCCATTAGAATTAAGCAAAGATTCTGGTCCTTTTGGTCAAACCCTCCATAATACAATAATAAAAAAATCTTAGTGTTTTCTAGTATACGCTTGAGCCATTAACTGTATTTATTACACTGCGTTACATATAAATTTCTCATAAAATGAACATCACTTTGGCTCGAGCGTACGGAATATAACCGTCTCATATTATTTGTCCTGAGATTGACGTCCATATTTGAAAATTATTTTTAGCATTAAGTGATTCTGATTATTATTATTATTACTCCTTTTTTAATCATCGAAAGAAAAAATAATGCAAAAATCTTTGCGATAGTCCATTTTTAATTCCTTTATGCAAAATTCGTTGTCAACCGCGTCTCGTGAAATCTTAATATATCATTAATTTGTAAATTCTCGTTTGTTGTTAAATGCGTATATAAACTTGTAGGTGTAATTGAATACGATGTTTGTATAGGTTTTTGCTAAGGCTTGTTGAACAATGTTACTTCGGTTGATTTTTGTCAATTAATATGTCCAAGTTTGACGTTTCTCATTAATTTTTTAAATTTCCAAACGAAAAAAAAAAAAACTTTGTCAATTGTTTTAATAAGATAAATTCGTTTGTAAAACTCGATCGTGCAAACTTTAAGAGGAAAACGTTTTGTTTAACCTAGAAATATTGTTTTTTTTTTTTTTGTAAAGTTTGAAATCAAAATTGTTCCTCTTAACTTTGTTCTTGTTGGAGTGATATAAACGTTTATTCGTGAATATCATTAGAGAATTCACTAGTAATATCGCGTTGTTCGGTCAATTCACAAGTGCCCTTTTGTTGCTCACTTTTTTTTTTTGTTTTTTTGTTTAATTGATCGCTTTTTACTCATTATAATGCTCAATATTATGGTCCTGATATTAGATGATTAAATGTTTCACTTTGAGTTTTAATTTATTTCTCTTAATTATAATGAAATTAATGAATTCTTCATTTAATACGAAAACGACCGTGGGCGGTACAAATCTATTGTTGAATGTATAGTTTCCATTCGGACTCTGTTATATTGAATACTCATTAACGAAAACAATCAACAAGACTCATTTACTAAAACGTTTTGTAAAAAAAATTTGAAAAAAAAACTGTCTAGAGTTTTATCGATCTCGATACCAGACGACATGGACCGCGGCCGCGTTTCGTTTTTGTAAACTATACGTGAACTAAAAAGAAGATTATCACGATAATTTAATTTCCCCACACCGCACTTTTTTTTGTCTATAAACGATTTCAACAATTACAATTTAAACTTTGTTACCACTAGTTTAGGCAATCGTTTTTTTTTTCTTTTTCTTTTTAATAACTCAATACGTAATTGCTTATTTTACGTATTATCATGTTTTAACTAAACGAATAAAAAAAGAGCTTTCTCTCGATATCTTCGATTTCTTGCGTTGAATTTTATTGGGGGGTTGTTGATTATATTAAACATATTAAATTTATTGAAATGGAAATTGTGAGAAATGCATTCCATTCGTCGAAATCCTTGATTGTGAGCACTGTTCATCGATGCACCCAATAGTATGTGGATAGTGTATATAATAAAGATAAATAAATATATTTTTACAGAAAAAACCGTAGCTGATATCAAACTATCACTACGTTTGAGCCTTAGCATGGTACGGTAATTATAATGTATCGTATCATGTCAGTAACAAAGTGGAATATTAGAGTATTTACAAATTTCAGACCGTTTATTATAATAAAATAAGGTATATAGATAAAATCCCTTTCTAACATTTTGCGCGTTTAATATACTGTCACAAAGGGAGTAATGCTATGACAAAACATGTTACTCGATTGTTGTTTAAAATAAGTTGGTTAGAAAGTTGGACAGAAAATATATCGTATTTTGTCATATTTATACAAAGAAAAAAAAATCTATATCTCAATGAATATATTATATATCATAGTCCATTGTACAGAATAGTCCGTATTTAGTAGTAATGACATCATCTTTTTTTTATTATTATTATATCATAGTGATATATTAAGTACTAATTTCCGAAATACATATTATTTTTGCGGCACGACAAATACGCCACTGCGATAGTTTTTACGTTGTTACGTTTGATGGATTTTAGTCGTTATCGAATCAATATAATTTTTATTGTTCTTCATTTTTTTTTTGTTGTGTTTAAACCCATCTACGAACTGTAGCATTGAATTTGGCCTATTTTTATTTACAGCACTATATATTTAATAGTGGCGTTTGTCGAGCGGCGTATTTGTCGTGTGCAAACATTATATTATTATTACTTAACATAGCTGATATTATAGCAGCTAAGGCGGGCGGTACGTACATGATCATCTTTACGTTATAATAATTATTTAGATTAAGATCTTTGAGTTTGCGTATTCTGATCAAATGTTGTTGTAAATTTGCTGTACATTAAAATATAGAGGAGGGCCGTCGCCGCGGTCGGAACTCGACACGCCGTCAAGACTGTCGAATGTCGATTCGCCGAACAAT